GTCAGACCAGGCCCTCGTATGGAATCCAAAGGGGAACGACGAGTTGGGTGTCCCAGGTGAGGGTGACATGGAGGAGATGGTGCGAGGAGGAAATGAGAGCTTGTGGGCTGTCGTGGAACCAGGTTCAAAAGATCTCAGAGAACAGAGGTCACTGGAGACGTGCTACTGAAACCCTATGTTCCACTAGGAACCCAAGGACTAATAATAATAATAATAATAAATAGATTTCCGTGAAATGGTTTACTTAGGTAGAAAAATTATGCTTATAAGAGGATATACTTAATTATATATTAGGGAAGTAGTTTGTATAGTTCGCAGTGTGTTGTTACAGCTGGATTCTACTCAAAGTTATCTTCAAGCTCTTTTTTCCACTTCTAGGTATGCAATCGACTGAATTAATAATTGAATAACTGTTTTATTTTAGAGGGTAGTATTCATCATGGACTGACATCAGTTGGGGAACCATTGAGAATATGGGAGCACTGGACAACTGTTTTGTCCTAGTATGGAGGAGTCCCATGCTAGGACGAAACAGCTGTCCAGTACTCCCACATTCTCAATGGTTCCCCAACTCATGTCATTCCATGATGAATACTACCTCTAAATTAAAATCCTCATTCATCTCAAAAATTCATTACACCATATAGTGCTCATTACTGACTTGCTTCCAGATGGATATCAGGAAGCCCTAATGAGAAGTCGTGACCTGTGGAGTCAACCAGTCGGATGTGAAGTGGATGCTAACTGAAGACCTTGGGTGATAGTCACGCTATATGGTGAATTGAGAAAAGTTGGAAATTGTGAACGAGTGAGAACCGACTCAGTGAATGGTTAACGCGTTCGTCGTGAAACCTGAAGGTGTTGAGTCCGATGCCTAGCCGGGTCATGAGTGCGTACTACTGAAGAGCCCCATACTAGGATGGAACGGTTGTCCAGTGCTCCCAGATTCTCAATGGTTCCCTAACTGATGTCAGTCCATGATGAATACTACTAACCTTAAACTCCCCACTCATCACAAAAATATTTTATTGTCGCATTATTAATTTAACATTAGAGAAGTCAGTTTACAGGCATCATCACATTGATATATAGCGAAAAAGCTACAAAATTTTACGGGTCCTGAATAGTACAGAAGCGAGGCCATTAAACTTTATTGAAAACGTCAGAAGATTCTGCTAATGATGATACAAACAAGAAAGTATCACTCTTCAGTATATACAGAGTGTTGAAGTTTAGATCATTTTCCGTCATTTTTTTCACTATAGGTTGCGTCAAGGTCGCGTAATATTCCAATTTTGCATCGCAAGTAGTCGACAAGTTTGACTCGTCTTCATAGTGCCATGTTATGTCAGATAAACATCTATTTCACCATGAATTCTTATGCTTATAGCTTCAGTGACCAAAAGAATCCACACTAACGATCTCAGGAACCACCAGTAAATCGCCACTTCATCATATAATCCAAGTGAATATGTATGTTCAAGCAGTTTCCACTCTTTAGGTGGTACCGTTCAAAGCAATATAGATTCACGCCATTAGGAATCAATGTTATAGTGCAAAGGAATAAATATTTCTGAAGAACTGCAGACCAGTGGCAATAGGTTTTACGTATTATCCACGTTAAAGTATGCAACATTATCAAGGAGGTATATTCACTGTTAGATAAAGCACTAGAGAAATCTGTTACGTAACATTGTTGTGAATATGTTCCCTTTAGAGTCAATAGTTGAATCGATGTCTTAGATTTACTTGTTTGTCCAAATTTTCACTGCCATTGTAACCATCTAGAAATTTGAGCAGTTTCAGGATCATCATCATCAATATCAACATAGGACCAGGCATTACTGCGTAACGATCCGAGTTGTCACAACTCATATCGGCACATCAAGTAAGAAGGCAGTGAGGCACAAGATGAAGAAAAGTCAGTCAAAAGAAATATAAAGTACGGAAAGAGAGAGAGGAAGGAAGAATTAGAAAGTGGTGAGATTCTGTATAGCGTTGTTAAGATGAGGATAATGTATGTATACATCTGCGCCACTGACAATGGTTCTGAACCATGTCACCTAGAGTCAGTCTCAAACCACTAGTTTCTCTTGCCCCACGGACGGACTCCAACCACCTAGTCTGCATCACCCCACATGGCTCATACGAACAGTCAGAGACTTCATACATTCATGCTGTTTTAGTGTTGCCGATAGCCTGGAGCCTTTTTCCATCCTGAATGTATTTCGGCCAACATTGTGTGATGAGGCGATTGACGACTAGGCATACTCAACACATGTCCTGTCCAAGCCAACTCAGTCGATGAAGGTTCACAACAGTGTCAACTGTCTTACCTCTCCCCGCCCCCCTAATACTGTACACCTGACATCTTCGTTACTCACATGGTGACACCACGAAACACGACTTATGCTGTGAAGGTGATGGTGGTCAAACACTTGAAGCCAGCCTTCTCACATCTTCCACCTTTACTGACCATGTTTCACAGCCATAGAGTAGGATAGAGTGGATTGGTGTGCAGTATACGCGACCCTTAGTAGTAGACAATTGGATATTACGGCGGCGCCACCGGATCAGTAAATGTTATTATGGTGATAGAGTCGGATAAGATGAATGGGATCGGTAATTCCAGCTGATCAGATGGTTAATTCCATGGTAGCACAGTTTCATTTTTTTTGAGAAACAATAGAATATTGAGAATTGGTTATATATATATATATATATTTCACCATCGATGGTTAATCTAGCTGATTTTGGTGTTCGAAGATTTTAGTTAAATCTTTTTCTCGTGTGACGACGTTCAGATTTCCAGTTTATTTAGTACATTTTTGTCATAGCCTATTTTCTTCAAAGGCACCAAAAACAGGTGTAGCTTCTGTACCTTTGTGATAGGAAACTGTTAATATGTATATTAACGTTACTATGTTACTGGGACCTTAAAGGATAGATAATAATAATAATAATAATAATAATAATAATAATAATAATAATACTATTGCAGTCGTTTTCTTAACCCATATGCAGTTTTATTGATGAACCTCATGTCTGTGAACGGACAGTCTCTTTCAAGGCCACCCTAGCAATAACTGAAATAACCAATTAGACTTCCCTATTTTACGAAGAAACCACTTTTCTAGACGGAATATTGAAACGTGATTGGTTATTTCTGCAGTTGCTAGGGTGGCCTGTAAACTTATCGGTGCGTAAAGTACAGAGGTGAAATTGGTCACTTCAGTTATTGTTAGGGCTCCTTTAAAGTCAGTTATCTTTAATGGTCACCATAGTAACAACTAATGAGATAGCCAATTATATTCCTCTAATTAATGGAAAGGTACTTAATTGGTTATTTTAGCAGCTGCTGGGGTGGGGTGTCGAAAAACAGGCTTAACTTCAGCATTATGTCTGTAGTTCTGGCTATAGTGTCTGTGGTACTTTTTATAACAGTCATGTAATGTAGAGTTAAGCTGTGTTATCAACTTCTATATAAACCTGTAATAGTTTGAGATGAGAGATTTGATCCACTAGCTTATGATTTGAATCATATTGAGAATTCAATCTTCGTTTTTATCGCCGAGTAACACCTTATTGGATTTAAGACTAGTCGGTCTGAGATATTTCTATCAATCGGAGCTTATTTCTTTCAAATGAATTCAAATAGTCTTCATAAAGGTTAAACATGAACGGAGTTAACTCTATATAAGATTTGTTTATTTGGTTTGTAACACGGTGAGATACAGTACTATTTATTGGATAACGTTTTCAGTATAAATTATTACTCCTGATAATCATATCAATATAATGATACTCCTTTCAGTATCACCTATCTTTGGATTGGAGAGTAAAACGAAAAACAGATGGTGGTGTTTATATACTGCCGTAAAAACAGGGAACCAATGCATTCTAACAGGTATATCTAGACTTGAGATCATCTCGTGCAAGGTCAGTGAAGGCGGGTTTAGTGAAGTGTGTAAATGACAGAGCTACACAACTCGGTAGTCAATGGAAAAACTTAAATAAGGAATTGAAATGCATAGAAGAAATGTTACTAATTAATAGTCATTGTTTAGAGTTGACTAAGAAATCGGTGAGAACACATAATAGACGAAAAGATGACAGTAAGACGAGTAAGCATAATGACGACGAGATGAGTAGAAGGGAGTTGACGTCCACCATTGTGTTACCGTATTTTGTGGAAGGGATGTTAGAGACTTGACGCAGAATCGTGAAGAAGGCTATAGTTATGTTGGGATTTAGATCTGTGAAGTCACTGAGAGAGATGAGTTTTGTTGGGTGGTTTAGGGATTCGTTAGAAGCAACTAAGCGAAATGGTGTAATCTATTGAATTGCATGTGATGACTATGAGGTGAAGTATATGGGTGAAAGTGGCCGATGGGGGTGAATTAGAATAGGGGAATATAGGGATTTAGGTAAACAGAATGACAGAGTTGAATGAGATCGATAATGTAGGAAGGAAGGAAGGGAGGAACTGGTGTATTGTAATGTATGTATTAATACTCGACCACAGACTATATGGTGTGTGGGATAAAGTCACCGTCGTGAAGTCCAATATAATTAGGTAGTATATTGATAGAGATTGATCACTGATTCTTGTTCATCGAATCAGCAAACACTCAACTTATGACACAATACCTACACACCAGAGATATGGAAACAAAGAATAAGAGGTGTCAGGACTATAAAAATCATTTATCGAAAATAATTTGATTACATTGATGCAGTTATGAGTAATAAGTAAGTTAGGCTCGAAATATCATCATGACATCATAGAATCGCATTCTACCACAGTGCTGAAGTTTTACACCTAGGAGTTAACGACTAACATATTGATATATGAATTTTTTTTTTACGATTGTTCAGTTAATCATTTCTTTCTTGCATATTATCCTTAATTTAAATGGAAATTATAGAGAATAGTTATTAATTGAAATTTCAAATTACTGAATAATAATAACTTTGGTTATTTTTATGATTATATTAAGGTATCTAAACGCTTTACTTAAAATGGAAGTTACAGTACAGTCAATCGAGGTAGTGAATCGACTGTCTACAAAGATTTTACTACCTACAGAATTTATACAAAATTATATATCGAATTGTTTAGTCTTTTGTTATTCAGTACAAGATAAATTTTATCAAATGAGGCATGTACGCTTGGTATGTGTACTTCTTCAATCACTTATCAGAAATAATATACTGGATATTCATAATCAGGTAAGATATACGTATATACATACTTGATTATTGACAATTATATACCTATATGATGTTTATGATATTATTAAGCAATGAACTGTTTGTTTTAAATTACATGATTTTTGTACAGTAAAGAAACGCTTAAATTTGGAGGGAAGTTTCAATATTGAATGACTGACTAATTAAATCAACATAAAAGTCCGCACACAAGTGTATCAGCTCAGATTGTCACACTTCACAGTAGTCAACAGAGAACAGGTGGATTGAAAAAGACTTATAGTCTACTTTGAGTAGACTAAGTTGTGTGAGATAAAGGTTAGAAGATGCTAAGAAGTGAATGGATCTACGCTACAGTAACCGATTTTTAGTCATGTCATTAAGAGTTCTCAATCATTGATTCCTTTAATCTCAGGAATGCCAGTCAGACAGTCTACACCTCCTCACGTTATTCATTAATTGGTGTGTACGTCTTGAGCTGGCTACCATGAACTCTCTTTCAACATAATCGAAACTTCTCATAGCATAGGACGTTGAGATAGATGACGATTCAGGATGTTCAGTACATGTTGAAGTCATCTCAGTCCACTTAGTTTACAACCTCATCAATCGACTTACTAGGCCTGTCTTGCCTAGTTCCCTTTTCTTGACTTCAACATTGCTCACATGATGATTTCAACGAATATGAGTGAGATCTGGGGACCGGGGAGTTGATGTCATCAAAATACCTAGCGTCTTGTTACAGTTTTTTACCTGTTGAACAGTCACATCTGTCAGTATAATACTTAGTTCAGGCTATTGTAAAATCGTATTTGATGAACCCTATAGATAAGTAATAGAAAAGCAATGGATTTATGAATACGGTTATTCGTATTGTCGCCATTTTCTTCTTTTCGGCTTTCTTCACCATTTCACTAGTACTTTGACATCCTTCTGTAAATACACCTTGAAGTTGCTCATCATCATCATCATCATCAATATCAACATAGGACAGGCATTACTGCGTAACGATCCGAGTTGCCACAACTCATATCAGCACATCAAGTAAGAAGGCAGTGAGGCACAAGATGAAGAAAAGAAAAGTCAGTCAAGAGAAATATAATGTACGGAAAGAGAGAGAGGAAGGAAGAATAAGAAAGTGGTGAGATTCTGTATAGCGTTGTTAAGATGAGGATAATGTATGTATACATCTGCGCCACTGACAACGGTTCTGAACCATATCACCTAGAGTCAGTCTCTAACCACTAGTTTCTCTTGTCTCACGGATGGACTCCAACCACCTAGTCTGCATCGCTCCACATGGCTCATACGAACAGTCAGAGACTTCATACATTGATGCATGTTTTAGTGTTGCCGATAGCCTGGAGCCTTTTTCCATCGTGAACCTATTTCGGCCAACATTGTGTGACGAGGCGATTGACGACTAGGCATGCTCAACACATGTCATGTTCAAGCCAACTCAGTTGATGATGGTTCACAACAGTGTCAACTGTCTTACCTCTCCCCCCCCCCCTAATACTGTACACCTGACTTCTTCGTTACTCACGTGGTGACACCACGAAACATAACTAATGCTGTGAAGGCGACGGTTGTCAAACACTTGAAGCCAGCCTTCTCACATCTTCCACCTTTACTGACCATGTTTCACAGCCATAGAGTAGGACAGAGTGGATTGGTGTGCAGTGCAGTACACGCGACCCTTAATAGACAGACAATCGGATATCACGTTGGCGCCATAGGTGGTGTCAGTTGGCAAAAGTCAGCCGAGTTGCTATAACCGAACATATTTTTTATTGTGTTGATATTAGCATTATCAGTCACATATACTATAGCGTTTTGCATATACTGAATGTGTTTCCCCACTTCTTTTTCGGGGATACAGTCGATTATTTTCTCAGTGGATTTTAGGGTTTCTCAGTCGGTGTCTTTCCACAATACTTAAGGGGGAGTAATGTGTCGCAAAGTAATTGAGTGACATCTATAGTTGATTTGAACTTTCTAAGTTCTGTTTGGGGGTTTGTGGGAATTATTCGTTGATTCCAAGTTGGATTCCGACCGAGTGGCTCAATGGTAACGTGCTAACCGCGGGACCTGAAGGTCCTGTGTTCGATTCCTGTTGGGGTCATGGGTGCTCACTTCTGGGGAGTCCCATACTATGACGAGAAAGTTGTCGAGTACTCCCAGGTTTCCAATGTTCCTTCAATTGATGTTACTCCATGATGAATTCCAACGTAAAACGAATTAATAAATCTCCACAGATCTCCAGATGGAATTAATCTATCGCTTATTGGTGACTAGCTTCGAGAAGTGATTCCCGAAGTTCCAATGAGAAGTCGTGAAGTAACCAGTGGAGTCAACCAAGTCGAACATGTGAACAGTTACTCAACGACGACATTTGATGTAGGTGGCGCTCTATCATAAACTGACAAGTAGGAAATATGGACAATTGGATTCTGACCCACTGGCTGTATGATAACGTTCTCGCCATGGAACCTTAAAGTCGTGGGTGCGCACTACTCAGAAGTCCCATACTAGGACGAAACAGCTGTCCGGTGCTCCCATATTTCTAATGTTCCTCCAACTGATAACAGTCCTTGATGAATCCCAACCTAGACTTGCTAAAGTTAGTAGTGGTGTTTTTATGACGAAGTAAAGGTACTTCTTGTATTAGTGGTTTCTGTTTTATCAGTCTATGTCTATGAGGAGGATAGAATGAATGTATATGATGCTTTCAATCTATGATGAATATGTTCGTAGAATAAGTTGGTATTTTATAGAGAAATTGTTCCACTTCAGTTTGGGTTGGTGTAGTACTGCTCCAATCGAGTTAGCAGATCAGAAAATCCTGGACAATAGATCTGACTGCGTTGTGTATATATTTGAGAAGTGCATATAATCAAAATCGACCTCTCTAACGGAAACCATGTCCTGTACAATATCACTTTTTGAGGGTTTGTTGGGAGCAATACTTTTATTTGTTATATCTAATAGGGATTTATCAGAAGAGTTGAAGTTGGATGTAAAATCTCTTCTAGTCAAAGTTTCTGGATTAGTTATTCTACATGATGGGTAAGGACCTGAGAGAGTTAGCGAGTTCTCAATAAGACAGACGTTACCGTCAAGTATTTGGATGGGTAAAATCTGAAGGTTGCAAGACGTTTAGGACTGCCTAATAGTTCAAGTAATGAAGGGTTGTATGCGTGGAGGATTATGTAGTTATCTAGGCATTAAGATAAATACTACTAACTGAGTGAGAATATGGATAATGGACAACACTTTGGAGTAGCAAGCAGTCGAAAACGCAGTAGAAGTCAACTGAAGATCTTGACGGATAGTCGGGCTTTATCGCGAATTGAAAGAAGTAGGAAACCGTAGATCGTTGAACTCCAACCTAGAGGCTGATTGGTTAACACGTTCGCCGTAAGACCTGAAGAGTCTCATACTAGGATGAAACAGCTGTTCAGTCCTTTCAAGTTTTCAGTGATTCTTCAACGGGTGTCAGTCCATGATGAACACTACTTATGAGATACTCGGGTAAGATTATGTTTTTTAAGAGACCCTTGGTTAGTTTAACTGAGCACCAAATGCTGAAAGCATATTCTCAACCCATTTGTCCACTTTATACATATGCATACAGTAGGCAATGAGACATACGTAATTTGTGAGGATTAGCTGCCGAAACCTCGGTAAGTCGGGCGGGGTTCGAACTCATGACTCAATGGTTGAGATGCAGCGATACTGTTTAAAGGGATTATCACAAATGTTGATAAAGCCGAACAGATAGTGTGTTATAACACTCTTTTCTGGATGAAAATCTATCCTTTGATCAAATAATAATTTGTGTAATCTTCATTGTTGTTCATTTTGCGTCATAAAGCTCTACACTATGTATTCACTAGACTGATATGCTATACTGTCTTCTTGGAATCGAATTTTTTCTGTGTTTACTTATTTTCATTTAGGTGATTAAGTGATTTTCGCATTTTTGATTATGTTGACTTCGAGGAGTAGTGAAGACAGTATACTCATTGATTAAAGATAAAGGTTTGGGGATGGGGGAGAGTATTATTATTATTATTAGTCCATTGGGTTCCTAATGGAACATAGGGTTTCAGTAGCACGTCTCCAGAGAATTCTGTTCTCTGAAATCTTTTGAACCTGGCTCCACGACAGCCCACAAGCTCTCATTTCCTCCTCGCACGATCTCCTCCATGTCACCCTCAGCTGGGACGCCCAACTCGTCGCTTCCCATGGGGGTTCCACTCGAGGGCCTGGCCTGACACGTGATGTCCCCAGTCGGCCTTCTCAGTGTATGCCCAATCCAAGAGAGAGTATACACGGCACTAATTAAAAAGTCAGATGCAACATCGTGAGTGTACAGCTTTTGTAAACTTTATTTATCATATCATTCACTTTGATTGTTTCTTGTTTTGTTTTGCTTTACAGGATATTTTGATTGAAGTAAGAACATTTTGTTTGGAATTTACAAAAGCTCGGGAGCGACTACACTTCACCGACTTATTTTGAACATGGAGAATACTACTACTACTACTTCGACGACCACAACGACATCCAGTGTTAGTACTGTTACTACGACAAGTACTGTGTGCACATCAAGTAATTCATCACAGCAAGACATTTCTAATTCAGCTGCTGAAAATGCTTCTTGATCATTTTATGCTTCTTGTTATCTTCACTGTTTTCTTTCCATCAGTATTCCAGTATACTTTGCGTAAATTGTACAAATCGTGAATATAGATAATGTCCAGTTGTCTTTTTTTTCGGTGTGGGGTATAGTATCAACAGGGTTGGCAATTTTCGTCTCATTTTGTTTCAATTGAATATTTTGCTGTTCATAATGTCTATGGTATTTGTGCTAAGCTTAACATCAATTTTTTGATTGTATTATTTTCTCTGAGCTGGATGGTTTAATCGTGAAGCTTTCATTGACATCTAGACAATATTATCTGCAAAAACTTCAGAAAGAGGTTAGCTATGAGATTTTCTCCACAAACAGCTACACTGAAGCTCATTCTCCATATGTGTAGAAAATTCTATGCCTCATTTCTTCCCTAAGTTTGTACTGATAATGTTGTCTCGAATGACAATGAACGCTCCCCAATCAAACCATTCAACTCAGAGAACATAACACCATCAAAATTATCGTCCTCAGCTATAAATATTCGCGATCATCTCAATATCGAAAGTCTTTTAAACCCCTGGTAGTATAAGTCAGACATTTAGTTCCCTTGACGGATTTGAACAATCCAAGGAGAAAGACATTTGCAAAATAAAATGAGCTCTTTCTAGTTGTTATTCACCGTAGACTGACATCAGTTGGAAGAACAAAGGAAACCTGGGAGCACTAGACAGCTGTTTCGTCCTAGTGTGGGACTCCTCAGCAGTGCTCACCTACAACCCCGCCAGGGATCAAACCCGCTCCCAGGTTTCCTGTGTTCCTCCAACTGAACTGGTGCTCATTGGTGACTAGCGTCGAGTGGTATTCCGGAAGTTCCAGTGAGTAGTCGTGACTGGTAGGGGCAAAGCCTGATGGTCATGAGGACAGTTACTCAACTATGACGTTGGGTGGCGGTTGCACTATATCGTGAGGTAACAGAGGTTGGAAATATGGACCACTGGATTCCGCCGAGCCAGTGGCTCAGTGGTGACGTGCTGGTCAAGGAACCTGAAGGTCGCGGGTTCGATCCCTGGAGGGCGGAGTCGTTGGTGCTCACTGCTGAGTCCCATACTAGGCCGAAACAGTTGGCTGTCCAGTGCTCGCAGGTTTCCTTCGTTCCTCCAACTGATGTCAGTCTACGATGAGATGAATAACAACTTGAAATATTTTCAAATCCCCACAACTCCCTCAAAATTAAAATGAACTCATTTTATTTCATGGTCTTTCATCAGCTTCAAATAGTCTACAAGTGGAATGAAGTATTAGTAATAATAGTGATATAATATACCGTAGATAGGTAGATATAAATGAAGATTTGAAATCTAGGGTTGACATTAAGGTGATGAGTAAGTCATGGAAATACAGGATAAAAAATAGGGTAGTGAGTGAGTCAAGGTAAGGCAGAACTATTAATTACAAATTCTAGTCAAAATCGGTTGCAACTTATATCTTATGAGATAGTAAATTCTGAAGCTGTGAAGTGTGGTGGTGGGGAAACAAACGAAAATCTGTGTAAGAGAAGGGAGCTAGTGGGTTACGTAATCGCATGAAAAACTGGAGAGTCGTGAAACCATTTACAGTCATTAACCAATTAATGAAAAGGTGAGTCGAGAAGGGGAAAACTGTATAAATATATCTGGAAGGAATTGTGTACAGTTACCATGGTTAAGAAAGGTTGATTTACGGTCTCTTTTTGAGTACATAGTTCAGGCTAGAAATGTTTGATGGCGATGGCTTCCGCGAACCGTAATAAGCAACAAAAGAACGCTTTGTTGAAGCTCTTGCCATCAAGCATTTTCAGCCTGACCTATGTACCCAGAAAGAGACGATAATTAACCTTTCTGAACCCTGGTAACTGTATATAGTTCTTTGCATATGTATGTACGTAGTCTTCCTTTTGTGATTGGGTCATCTATTCAATAGTTACTTACTGACTGTTAATCATTCAGCCTAACGTCTTTCCAGTTTTCTCCATATAATTACATAACCTACTAGCGCTTTAGCAACCCCTTCTGTTACATTCTTGTCTGTTTGTTGTCCACCCCGCAACACTACTCCATAGCTCCGAAATTTTCTACATCATGACATATAAGTTGATTTTGACTAACATTTGTGATTGATAATTCTGCATTTCTTCGACTTATGTTATTGACTCAAAATTACTCATACAACTAAGGTATCGGTTGGTGAGATTATATTGGGTATACAACTGTGCCTGATCTCCATAGTCTTCAAGTTCCAAGAGAAAATATACAGACAGACAAAAGGAGTAGCAGTGGGATCGCCAATATCCCCAGTCGTAGCACATATATTTATGGATGATTGGGAGAACATGGCGTTACAAACGTTTTATCCTGCACCTAAGATAAGGTGGCGATATATGAATGACACATTTCCTGTGTTGAAGTTGTAACATATCGACAATTTCCTCACACATATACTCAGTAGTAGGCTGAATTCACTCACAAGCGGGTAGGAAAGGAACAAGCAGAATTACTCAAGTTAGATTGTAGGACAAAACGGAGGATAGATGGTGGTTTGGATACCACGGTCTACAGAAAACCGACATTCTGACAGGTATCTAGACTTCAAGTCATATCACCCAATATCAGTCAAGGCGGGTCTAGTGAAATGTCTAAATGATAAAGCTAGAAACTTGACTAGTCAATGAAAGTACCTAAACAAGGAACTGAAGCACATTAAAAAAGCAGTAGTAGTTATTAATTATCCTTTACAGTTTATTAAGGATAACGTTTTGAGCATAAATTATTACCGTTCATAATCAACATCACCTATCTTTGGATTGGAGAGTAAAGCGAAAAACAGACGGTGGTGTTTATATACTGCCGTAAAAACAGGGAACCAATGCATTCTAACAGGTATATCTAGACTTGAGATCATCTCATGCAAGGTCAGTGAAGGCGGGTTTAGTGAAGTGTGTAAATGACAGAGCTACACAACTCGGTAGTCAATGGAAAAACTTAAATAAGGAATTGAAATGCATAGAAGAAATGTTACTAATTAATAGTCATTGTTTAGAGTTGACTAAGAAATCGGTGAGAACACATAATAGACGAAAAGATGACAGTAAGACGAGTAAGCATAATGACGACGAGATGAGTAGAAGGGAGTTGACGTCCACCATTGTGTTACCGTATTTTGTGGAAGGGATGTTAGAGACTTGACGCAGAATCGTGAAGAAGGCTATAGTTATGTTGGGATTTAGATCTGTGAAGTCACTGAGAGAGATGAGTTTTGTTGGGTGGTTTAGGGATTCGTTAGAAGCAACTAAGCGAAATGGTGTAATCTATTGAATTGCATGTGATGACTATGAGGTGAAGTATATGGGTGAAAGTGGCCGATGGGGGTGAATTAGAATAGGGGAATATAGGGATTTAGGTAAACAGAATGACAGAGTTGAATGAGATCGATAATGTAGGAAGGAAGGAAGGGAGGAACTGGTGTATTGTAATGTATGTATTAATACTCGACCACAGACTATATGGTGTGTGGGATAAAGTCACTGTCGTGAAGTCCAATATAATTAGGTAGTATATTGATAGAGATTGATCACTGATTTTTTGCTCATTGAGTCAATACCCAGCCAACACATATGGAATCGAAATAATGCAACACCTATACCAGTGACATGTAAGATTTTACTACCATTTAGAATCAAGAATGTGAGGTGGGTGACAGGACTATAAAAATCAGATGTCGAAAGTAGTATGGTTACATTGATTTAGTTATGAGCAATGATAATTTACACTCAACAGGTCATCCAGTAAGTAAATAATACTGTGTCACTATGCGCTGCATATATCAAACAAACATATGGAATTGCATTCTACCGCAATGCTCAAATCTTACACTTGTATTAGTCACTATTTTGATATTATCCTGGATTTCAAATCTCTACTTACTGCTCGATTAGACAACCCAACTCAGAGAACACAATACAACGAAGACCACCTGCGTTATTTACGAATAAATATTTCCCACCGTATTTGGACTTCTATATTCCGTCACTAGCACTAAGAATGACTCTCACTTGTAGGCTTTTTGCAGCTGATGAAAGGTCGTGAAATAAAATAAGCTAGCAGCTTTGTTCTTATATTGTTAGAATTATGAGAATTAACTTAAGCATAGTTCGTGTCTGGTACCCTCACAAATTGTTCGTTAGCTAGGCCTTTCGTCGTTTTCTGATCACTGTTGTTTTGATGCCCTCAGAAAAGGCTGGAAGACTTAAACGTGCCTTTCTTAAGGAAATTTTGTTGTGAATGAAGGAAGCGATAAATATGTCAGGTATTGTACATCATCGCATTCTTACCTGAGAGGCACTTCATGAGTTTATCAAAAGGTTCTCTGTCAATGATCACGTGTAGATCTTCTTAGCATATTCATTGTTCCTACTGCAGATGGTGTTTTCAAGCAAAGCTTATTAGAACTAGCTGGGAAGGGTAGCTTAGGACTACTTATTCAGTTTGTAACAACCGACAACTTCAGGATTTTGAAGCATCAGCTGTATGTTCAGTCGTGCAAAGAAGCGGTATGTGATTAAATGTACCTTAGTCCCTTGTCAGCCTTTTCAGTTCCTATTTTGCTATTACCTATGCACGAAATTCCACTGTTATACCTACGTATACATTGTATACATATCATGGGGTATCTTGCAAATATAAAATACGATTTCTTTAACAGATTAGTCTATGTGCAGATATTGACTTGTTTAGAAATATTTAGTAAACGAGTTTTGTATCAACTTTGTGAGATTTCCATTGAAAATATAATGTGCAACTTCAGAAACGTCTGCTAAAGTAAGCTGTCCTCTTGCTCTGTATGTCATGAG